CACCTTGAATGACAACCTCGAGCAGTTTCCAGTACTGGATTGAAAAGATGGCCTTTGCTGCATCTCCTTGAGCAAGGAAAGCCAAGAAACCTTTGCTTTGGAAGGAGAAAATCTAGAAAGCAGGAAGGAAGAAAAGCAGCCCCCTGACTCCTCCCTGAGCCCCAGACAGCCCATGAACTGCCTTGCTGGGAATGGTAGGACAGGATGGACTCTGAATTGCTCCCTCTGGATGTGTGGTAAGACTGTTACACCAACGTTTAAGGACAACTTGTAAGAATTTGCTGCCAATACGATAGTTGGTGCATGGGCAGCCTTGAAGCAGCTAAAGCATTCCCTGAGGAGAGCTCTGGGTCTGCCAGATGTCTCAGAACTGTTGGAAGCATCTTTGCTTGGGAGGGCAAACAAAGGCCAAGGTGTGCAGTGACCCCCCTGAGAAGGGACTTACAGTTCATGGCATCCCTGTAGGTGAACTTGGGGGCTGTTCCCCCTGTAGGGCAGGTGATATTCCCAGCTACAGTGATGGGAAAAATGGTTAAAAGGGAGCCCCAAAAGGTGGAAATCCTCCTGGAGGCTCTTGGCCAACAGAGTTTCCTGAGTTCCCCCTGAAAGAAGGACAGTGATGGCTTTTGAGTGCTGGTAGATCCTTTGAATAGATGGCCTTGAGTGTGTCCTTGTTGCACCAGTAGGCCTTGTCCAACTCCTCATATTCCAGCAGATATAGATATTGAAGTTTAAAATGATGTTCATAATCCTTCGTAATCCTGAGGCTCTCCCCTGCAGGAACTCCAGGAACTCCTGGTGCCGCCTGGGCCGATGGATTGGACGCCCCAGCCCCTCCGTTCCTGCTCAGCCCCTGGGTCTGTGTCCAGTGGTGGCACTGCCAGCCCTGCAGGTGAAGTGGGAAGGGCCTTTCCAGGTCTTGTGGGTCACATTTATAGCAGCTGAAGTTGCAGAAAAAGGACCTGGGGTCTCTTCTTCTTGAGTTCAGAAAGTTCCTTTTGGTTGGTGAGCAGGACAAAGTGGATCCTTCAGAGTTCCCATCCATGTTTGTGTCTCAGCCTGTGTTAGGATTCAGGGCTGTAGCTGTTGTTGTCACTGAGGAGTCAGACTATGCTTAAAATAGTGAGACACTGCCTAATGGCTGAGTGACAGGAAAAAAGGGGGAATGATACCTGAGTGTTGAGATGTAACAAGAGTTAATCCTTTTTGCAGTGGGATGTAGCCTGGAAAGTGCACAGAGCTGAGCCAAGGGATTGAAGGGGACCAACCAAGGGAGGTGAAGAAAGAAGGCAGAAGGGAAGTGAGGCAGCAGCCAAGCAGCACCAAGTTGCTGTGTAAGCAGGTGAGTTGTCTTGAGGTTCCTCAGGCAGGCACTGAGGACTTGGAGGGCTCCAGACAGAACAGACCTGGGAAGTCCTTCCAAAACCTTCTAAGGGTAGGTGTGTATGGTTATAAGTGTTGGAGAATGTCCTGAGTATGGAATAGGAATGCAGGGAACGAAAATGAACCCTCCTGTAATGCTGCCATATCAGCTGCAGTGGAGATAGCTCTGTGTGCCCTTTGGGATCTGATTGCCAGGGCCTCTGGTGGGCTGGAATGATTCAAGAGCATAGGAATAAAAGGTTGCCTGGCTTCTAAAACTCACCAGCTGAGTCTTAGAGGTTCCTTTGAAGAGCTGTTTTCAGGCAAGAAAATTGGCCCCCCAGGAGGGACTCTGTGCCTGCTCTCCCGTGGCTCCAAGGGATCTCTGGCCCTTCACGCCGGCACCGAGATT